TTGTGGCCGGGGCAAAAAGGGTTTTTTTTGAGTTGGTTTTTTTTTTTTTTTTTTTTATTTTTTTTTTTTTTTTTTTTTTTTCTTTTTTTTTTTTGCCTGGAAAGGTCACAGGGAGCAAGTTTGAGAGGAAATTAGTGAAGAGCAGGAAACAAGGGCAGCCTCATCCACGATTATCACCCGCTTCTCCCATGCTTGCACCTCCTCGTGCCTTGCGTGGCAGCAGGATGGCACTCCATGGACATGATGACCCTGCTCTGGGCCATGCTGGAGTCACCCTAAGTCCCTTTGTCATATTCCTGCTCTATCTACCTGGGCTGAAAACCTGTTTTCATTCTGGTATTGACAGTATCTAAGGGCTAACGTCCTCAATGTGAGGTGCTGCACACTAAACCTGTGTGACATGGGAGAACATGTCCCATTTCAGGCATGACTCTGTTGGGTCCTCTATAAGCTCCCAGGGCAGAGACTGGGTACTGAATTTCAGGGCATATAGGCAGGATCTAAATGTAAAGATGTGACAGTCGTTGTCAGATGCCCCATCCCTGGAGGGGTTCAAGGGCAGGTTGGATGGGGCTTTGAGCAACCTGGTCTGGTGGGGGGTGTCCCTGCCCAGGGCAGGGGGTTGGGACTGAATGAGCTAGAGGTCCCTTCCAACCCAAACCATTCTATTGTTCTATGAAGATAGAGTGCTTGTATAACAGGCAAATCCAATGTTATAATGGATTCTTATTTCTAATTTGGCCCAAATCTGATTTATTTTAAGTCCAGAGCTGTCCTTCACGAGCTGCATGTGAAGCCATAGATCCCATTCCCATTTGCAGGAAAGCACTGCTCTAAGTTAATTGTCTGAGAAATGTGGATTTCAACATCCTCTTGTCTTGTGGAGTTGCCTTAGGATGTTCTGAAGCTCAACTCTGGCTTCTCATTTCTTGCCAGAGTTGGAAATCTTGGGTAGCTGCGAGGCAGGGAGAACGTGCTGCTGGATCTGGGGCTTTAGCTTGTGTCACTGTCATCGTGCCATGAGCACAGGGACGGTGCCAGCTTGGAAAGGATCCTCTGCTTGGCAAAAAAAAAGGTCTCAAGAGCAGGCTGCCTCCTTGCTTTGCCTAGTTCTAGCAGGAAGGCTGTGGGATCCAGAGGTTTCTCAAGATCTGCTGTGGCTTTTCCCATCACTAGGTCACCAGGCCAGAGTGCCGAGGGACCAGACGTCCCCAGATGCTGTGAAATAGGGCTGGCCATTGCCACGCTGCTCTCTGACCATGGGCATGTGCATCACGGCTGGTGGCCATATGGCATGTATAGCAGGACTGGGGCCAGCTGGGCCACCTGAACCTGGAAACCTCCAATACTGCTGACACAGCAGGATCCAGGCTGAACTCACTTAAAATGCAGTGGTGGGTGTCAGGAGGATGGGGCCAGTCTTTTTTCAGTAGTGCCCAGGGACAGGAGAAGAGGGAATGGGCACAAACTTGAACGTAGGAAGTTCCATCTAAATATGAGGAGGAACTTCTTCACTTGGAGGGTGGCAGAGCCTTGGAAGAGGCTGCCCAGAGGGGTGGTGGAATCTCCTCTCTGGAGGTATTCAAACCCCACCTGGACATGTTTCTGTGCAACCTGTTCTGGCAGGGGGTTGGACTGGAGGATCTCCAGAGGTCCCTTCCAACTCCATATCATTCTGTGAAAAATTACAACCTGAACTCTGGGGGCGATGGACCACTTCTGGGGGTGACGGCTGTTGCTGCCGGTGCTTTGTGGGGCTGCTCAGCCCTGACCCAGGCATCACCCAGCTCTGCAATTAGTGTCCTGGGGCTGGAGGTGGCTCAGCAGGAGCTGCTTAGACCTCTCTGCTTTCCCTTGGCTGTGTTTTGGTGGGAGGGGGGTTGACAGGAGGGCCTTCATAAAGTGGAAAGCTCACTCCGATGGGGATGGGAAGGAGCTGGAAAAGGAAAGCTTCGTTCCCTGCTCATCTCAGCTGCCATTGGGGTTTTGTTTCCCCTCGCGGTGGTTTCCCCTCTTCCTCCCCGTTGTCCAAGTGTCGCTTCTGTCGCGCTTGTTATTTATTTTCTTTTTAGCCCCGGGGGCTGCTGCGAGAGGTGTCTCTCTCTGCTCTGCCGCCTGTTCCTGATGCTTCCTTTTCCTTGCTAATACCAATTGTTTCTGCCAAAATCCTTTGGGGGTGTTATGTAAACCTCGAATCACACGCTAACGCTCCGATCCGGGCGCTCCGGAAGGCGCTGGGTGGGATTCGCCCCCGCGCTGACTCCCCTGCCATCAGCGGGGGTCCCCATGGCTCAGTAGCCACCCCGGGGGTGGGGATGCCACCGGTGGCAACATCCACAGCCCTCGGAGCCAATACCCCCCTTTTGTCACGGGTGGTTCTAGTGGGAGGTGTGAAAACACCCCGGCATGGCTCGGGGCTGGGATTGAAGCTGATTGCAGGGTGCAGCACCTGCACAGCAGAGCTTTTTGGCACCAGGGTCTGGGTTTCTGCTGTTGGGTTTGCAGCAGCGTCGGTGGGTGCTAGGGGTGGGGTTCCCTGCTACAGCACCAGGATGGGGCTTGCTGCCCCAACGTAGAATCACAGAATGGTTTGGGTTGGAAGGGACCTTAAAGACCATCCAGTGCCACCCCCTGCCCTGGGCAGGGACATCTCCCACCACACCAGGTTGCTCCAAGCCCCCTCCAACCTGCCCTTGAACCCCTCCAGGGATGGGGCAGCCACAGCTTCTCTGGGCAACCTGGGCCAGGCTCTCACCACCCTCACACCAAAGAAGTTCTTCCCCACATCTCAGCTCAATCTCCCCTCTTTCAGTGTCAAACCCTTCCCCCTTGTCCTATAGCTCCCCTCCCTCATCAAAAGTCTCTCCCCATCTCTCCTGGAGCCCCTTTAGGGACTGGAAGGGGCTCTAAGGTCTCCCTGGAGCCTCCTCTTCTCCAGGCTGAACCCCTCCAACTCTCTCAGCCTGTTTCTCTCATCACTGCCCACGCTCAAGGGCAAACCCTGCCTCTGTGGTCCCTGTGCTTGCCACCGATGGGATCTGAGCTACTGGAGCATCTTTGTGGAGGTTCCATGTTCCTGCAGACGCTGCTGGATGGGCAGCTCTTCTCATGGGCCAAGTGGCGTGGGCACTCTGCTGCAGCGTGCATGCTGTCTCGGTGGCAACCTGTTGTTTCCCTGGGAAGTGATATTAGCAAAGATCTTAATGAATTTTCAAGTTGTTGCTTAATGTGATTTGGCAGCCAGAATTATTTTAAAAAAAAAAAAAAAGAGAGAGAGAGATCCACCATTGCTGTATGCCCAACCTCTTCCCCACATTCTCCACTGTTTTTGAGAGATTAAAAAGAGATGAAGTCCTGCTGAGCTGGCAGGTGATGCTGATGAATGTTTGGAAGGGATTAGGGTAAAAACCTTCTTCCTTCTGATTTAGCTCAAGATTTGAATTCATTGATAAAATTTGCCCAAGTTACATCTCTGCAACCTCCTCTGAGGCTGAGGTGTAAACTCCAGAGGTGTAAATGAAGGCAGAATTTGTTTCTGGAGCAGAAGGGCTGGTGAATTAACCTTTATAAGGTTGATGACAGCTTAAAGCAGCTGTACATCTATTCCTGTTGCTGTGTCCAATTAATCAGCACTGCCACAGAATCACAGGGTGCCCGAGCTGGCTCCGTGGCTGGGGGAAGCTGGTCTGATGCTCCTGCTGCCCTCCAGCATGGCTCTGAGATGCTCTGCAACAACCAACCTGCGTGTGCATGACACCGTGTTCATGTGTCACTTGAGTTTCAGCTAAAAAAGGCCATCTCTCAACCTAGAGGTGAAGTGGAATGGGTGTAGCTGGTGGGGTTCAGGGGTTACATCCAGCCAAAGCTGTGCTGGTGTCCTGGCCACCGTCTTCTGTGGTGGCATTGTGGCGGGACTGGAGGTTACAGAGGATATACCTCCAGCAGCTGTTGGACCTCCTGGTATATCTCCATGCATCCTATGGTACAAGCACAGGAGTGCTGGGACTCTAGAGTGGGCTCTTATAAGGTTCCCTATTATCAAAAAGGTTGTCTTCAGAGGAGCATTGATACCTGCAGTGTGGCCATTTGGGCTGAGGAGCAGTGCTGTGACTCGCACCAGCAACATGTAGTGCCCTGTGTTGGGCATCCTGCTGGGGCTGCAGGAGAGACCACAGCTCTGCAGCAATTCCAAGGATATATTCAGCCCAAGGCTCAGCACCAGCAACGAGCAGCTGTCCTGGTGGTGGGAGAAAGGATAATAGTCTTCACTACTTCTTCTCTGTGTTGTGCATAGTCAAACTCTTCTTGTAAGGAGAGAGGGATGCGCAGAGGGATGTTGGAGATGTTTGGGAGCGCCGGAGGTGCTGTAGGAAATTTCCTTCATCCCAGAGAAGCCGGAGTGAAGGGGGATGGATGCTGTACTTCAGCGAATAAATAGTTCTCTGCCGGCATCGTGTAGGTAAACAGCGCTGATGTTTCGGCAACAAAGCCCTAAGGAAGCAAACCCCTCGGGAGGGAGAGAGGGTCACCCCCCATCAGCTCTGAGACACGACCCCCCTGGGCCAAATTCGGGTGATTGGGTTGGAAAAAGTTCATAAAGGGTGAAAATGCTCTCCAGTGCTGGGACTGCAGCTCAGGATGCCACTCGTCTCATCTCGCCGTTGTGGTACTTGGGGATCAAACTCTTTAGAAAGAAGCAGAGGGAAACCTGTGTGGCTTCCCAGATGCAGCAAATTAATCTTTATATATCAATGTATGTATTTAACTGTTCTCTGTCATGTGGGTTATTTTTCTCTTTTTATTAAGTTGTAGCAAGCCTAATAGTTCTCATTTATTTTGAGATGCTTGATTATGGTGAAAGGAAACAACTTAAATTGATTTCTTCTGTATCCACGTACTGCTACTTTCAGGCTGTTTTATTATCGTTGCTGTTGCTCTTAAAATGCTAAATGTGCTCTTAAAACACTAACGAGAGATGGGTCACCTGGGAGCAGGGCATCCGTGAACGTTGGCCGATAAAATGTGCACGAGCTGAAAGTCTGGGATCGTGTGAGCGTGTGCCACTGGGACCTGCGGCCACCCCCAAATCAATCCTGCTGGATTCAGGATTTTTGCCAAGAAGTTGTTAGACGTGGCCACGATTTAGTTTGCCTTTAGTTTTGCTCCGTCAGGAGATGGGGCTGGGGGTCGTGCACGCAGCGCCGTGGGGCTGTGTGGACCCGGTGTCAACTAAGTTCTTGAGGATGAAAAAGACCTGCTGGGAGCACAGAGGATGCAGTGGTGGAGCCTCTAGCTCAGAAGAGCTTTATAAATGAGGGCAGTGCACAGTAGGGTACCTGCCGCTGGAGATCTGTGCTCCCCATGGCATCCACAGGAAATGACAAGGCAGGGAGAGGAAAAAGCTTTGTGCAAAGCCACCTAGACATTTTGGGCTTTTGGAGAAGAGCAGCTCACACCCCCAGCCGAGATCTGCGCTCCCCATGGCATCCACAGGAGATGACAAGGCAGGGAGAGGAAAAAGCTTTGTGCAAAGCCACCTAGACATTTTGGGCTTTTGGAGAAGAGCAGCTCACACCCCCAGCCCTGTTTGGAACCCTGGCCCTGGGACTGTCACACCAGAGGGCCGTGGAGTAGTTTGGCCATCTCAGGATTTCGTACCACCTGTGAAGTGGTGCCCACCTCAGCTCCCAGATTCCCTGCAAAAGAGATAACCACTGGAGCAGCAACAGTGGCAGCTTTGGGGTGCTTCAGAGAAGGTGAGCCTGGAGCAGAGGGTATCTTCATGCTGCTTAGCAAAGCCGACGTTTAAAAATCCCCTGGATGCAGGTGAATATGCATATAGACCTTTTTGGCCAAAGAGGCCAAAGGTGTTCATGGGAACCTCAGAGCCTGGTGGACCCAACCTACAAATGGCTGGATGGATTGGTGGCAACTCTGGAGGGGCAGGAGCTGGCTGGTGCGTCCAATGTGCCTGCAAACTTCAAAGCCCATCAGGCTACAGCTGCTCAGGGAATCCAGGGAAAGCTGGATGCTGCTGTGGAGCTCCTTGCTCCCTGTAGCTGGATGACTGGTGTATCTCATGAAGGAGAGCTCGCAGAGGCCACGTGTGCCTGTCCTGAGTGTGTCCAAAGTTCCAGGCTCTGTGAAACAGGGCTGAAGTCAGAGATGGGCTGAACAAGTAGCATCGGGGCACGGGGGATAGGAGGATCAGGCTCGATCCCTGTGGAGCAAATCTGGTGGCTTCCTCTGAGTTCCTTTGGATTTATTCAGCTGTAGGAGCCAACACAGACCCCTCCAATCACTATAGGTGCTGGTGGGATGGGTGGAAAAGCCCAATGGTAAGTCACAAAAAGGAAAGTAGGAATACTTTCAAGAACGTAATGCTGGGAATAATTTAGAAATAACATTATTTTTTTCAGTGGGTCGTTGGAATATTCACTTTTCTAGAAAGTAGGGGGAGAAGAGCTTAAAATTAAACGTTATTAAACAGAGCTTTCGTAACTGTCATTAAGCAAGAGGATTTAGAATTTTGAGGGAAGCGTTTTCCTATTTCTTCATGGTGTTGCTGCACAAGCCAGTGTTTGCCAGTGAGTGTGTCACTTGCAGGAAGACCAAAAAATAAAGTTAAATTCAGCATATGGTGGAGGAGAATATTTGGTATCCATTTTTTTGTGACGATGGTAGTTTGTTGAAAATGAAGTTACCTTTTTATTTGCTTAGTTTAACTCTAAATGGGAAAATAATGGTTGTTGTACCATCTCTATTAGAGGAATATTGTTTTAAAGCACTTTGGGGGTTGCATTAGTTGAGTTGCAAAATGAATTCCTCCTCTGGAGCAAATAAACCCCGGCGGGGCTGGATGCTGGGAGCTGACAGCTTGATGTGGGGATGTGCATCGCAGACGGGTCTCCGGGGGCCAGTTCTTGATGTAATTTCTTCGTGCTCCTTCTCTTCCCTCCTCCCTTCGCCCACCTCAGTGAAGCAGCATCTCCTCCTGCAGCAAATGGGTTAAAGCACCTGCATCTGAAAGTGGGAGGCACGGGGTGGCGTGGAGGGGGGGGGACAGCAGTGCTAACCAGAGATGGAGGGAGCCAAGAAAGTTTTAAATGCTTTAAATGTAGCCTCCCCATATGTCAGCACATGAGAAATGAGGAAGAAGACATGCAGGGTAGGCACTAAATATCAAAAGTTGCATTCGTGTCTTTAAATCACAAAGTATTTGTAATTTTTGAAGACATCCAGAAGGCATGAGAAGAGAAATTACATTTTCTGATAGTCTACAATAATTGCCCGCTCTATCAGAAATATCACCCCCAAAATGCTATATACTCACACGATTTTGAACGAACTGCACGTATTTGATAGCAAGCAGCTGCAGCAATAAACATCCACGCTTGTATATGTAAGAGGTTTGAAATATTAAAACAAAACCTTCCTGCAGAAAAAAAAGATAACTAAAGCATATGCCCAACTGGACCGAAGTTCTCCTTTCTTTGTGAAGAACTGGCTGTGAATAAATGAGTGTTTTAAATAACGCCCGGTGGCTTTAGCTCAGCAAAGTGCACAGCCCACCTCAGCATCTTTTATATTTCTCATCTGAACGTCAACTTATACTCTCAGTTTGGGTTCTTTTTTTCCTTTTTTTCCTTCTTTTTTTTTTTTTTTCTGGCCATCCCCCAGCCTGACAGCACATGCTGGGACATGGTGGGAAGGAGCTGTGAGCTGAGGCTGAGTGTGTAATTGTGTGAATGGGTCCTGGGCACATGGAGACCCCACTCCCAGCCCCATCCGAGAGTAGCCAGCTCCCCAGAACCCCAGATCCAGGCACAGAAAGTGAGCTGAGGCCTCTGAAAACTTGGCACAGGTTGGTTTTCGAGCAGCATCCAGTGATGTGATAGAGCAAGTGTTAGGAGAACAACATCTGGTGGCTCCGCTGTCTACGTGCCCCTTGCGAAGAGTTTTTCAGACCTGTGCAAATGTTGGGCTTAGTACCGTAACAGTGTGGTGAGAGACTGGTGCAGTCGAGGCCACCTGCTTGCCTTTTTTCCTTTCACATAAAATAATGAGGATGGGGTTTTGTTTTTTTGTTTTTGTTTTTTTTTTTTGTTGTTGTTTGGTTGGTTTTGTTTGCAGTGCAGTAAGTGACGCTTTTCAAGCAGCTCAGCGCGTTCAAAAAGTCGAGATCTGCTTGTGCAAAGGTGTCAACATTTTTTTATTTAGAGCTTAATTTTTGCAGATAGTTCATCATCTCCGTGCAGTAAGTGACGCTTTACAAGCAGCTCAGCGCGTTCAAAAAGTCGAGATCTGCTTGTGCAAAGGTGTCAACATTTTTTTATTTAGAGCTTAATTTTTGCAGATAGTTCATCATCTCCAAATTGTAGAGCAGAGGTGGGGACGACTTGGGTATCCTGCCGGAGGGATCAGGTCCCGATGGTGGACAGAGGTGTTTTCTCAGCGGGGTTGGGTGTGATGTGCTGCAGGTCTGGGCTCTGGAGCTCCTGCTCTGCAGCCTCCCCCAGGTATGGTGGTTTCCACCCTTGGATGTGGCAATGCCCCTTCTCTACCCAGAAGCGAAACAGAGCTCAATAATGGTGTGAAGCCACAGAACTGTGGATGCTGAAGGTGCTGTGCCAGCCCCAGCCCTTGAGGATGTGGTCAGGATGTGCCCAGAGGACCCAGACCTCCCTGGCCGCTTTGCAGGCAAGCAGAGAGTCCCAGCTCTGCATGAGCCGAGGGGACAGATGAGCTCTGCTGGCTTCCTTTGTGGCTGATGTGGCTAAAAGGCTTTGTCTAAACTTAGGAGATTGCAAAAATTGGGGCTGGGTATTGTTGCAACTATGTGTGGACCAGCAGAGTTTGGAGCCCCCAGCTGAAATGGAGTCTACTGGGCGCTGAGCAAACATCTGGTAAAGGATGGTCCTACGAAAAATAGCAAAGATGGATGAAGAGTGTGTATATAACGGAGAGAGGAAGGCTGTTGCTACCAGAGCACTTTCTTCAGGTTTATTTTTTAGAATAATCTCAGTGCTGCAAGTTCTGTGTTACCAGCGTGTCTACCTGAGATCATGGCCCTGCGCTCTGCTTGCTGAGAGGGGCTGGTGTCCAACAGGAGACTGGTCCCTCCTGGTCTGCTGCTGGGGGAATCATTGTTCTTGCAAGTCATCCGCCTGGTGACGTTGCTGCTGGGCTGTGGCTTCTTCTGTCGCTTTGATGGGGGGGTTTGCATTCTGGGAAATCATGAGATGATGGTAAGAATGTACAGGTGTGATGCAAGAGAGAAAGTGTGGTTTAAGCTCCTCTTTAGCTCCAGAAAGTCTCTGGAGATGTAGATGCCATCAGCATCTTACAGTGCTGTTATGCAGAGGCTGATGCAGCCGCTGGCAGTTTGCATCCAGCTGCTGGCTCTCAGCAGCACTGACTTCAGAAAGGGCTTTAGAACAAAAAGGACTGGTCAGACAC